TTTTCCAGTAAACACGACGCTGATTAGGCTCTAACCAGATATCAGTTTCGTCGTTTGCGATGGGTATGCAACACCGACCAAATTTTCTCGACATAACCTACTACGGCAGCCCAACACCAGTGGGTGAATTTTCCCGGTTTCCATCAGCCTTATGCTTCCGCAAACACCAAACGGTATGCGATTGGCGAATTATACCCATTTGCAAATTAATTCAGTGCCAACCTGCCACTCAATTGAATCCAAGCTGAAGGCTGTTCTAAACGATATTTTTTCGGATTTTCTTGAGTCTCCCGGTAACCGCAAATGAGTGGTTTTCGCCAGTCACCGGATATGTTTATCATGGTAATTCATGGTAGGTCCATATTATGGCTACGTCGATTCTTGAAAACACTGATCGTATGCTTTCTCAATCTGTCAGGCCTTCAGCACATGGATAGAGAATGTGTGGTGGTGATCCTCCGTCACCTGCATTACCGTACTACTGGTTCCAAAACATATCGTGCATCAGGCTTCGCCAAGGCTACAGGCCTTTTTTAGTCGCAGAGGTAGCAAGTCACTCCGAAACCGCCATGAAGAGAGTCACAGCACGATTATTAAAGCATTGTTTTTGTCGGTTCTTGCATCATATAAGGTGGTGGTGTATTCCTCAGGTTTATCACTTTCAGAACGTCGCATCGACAAAACAATTTTGATCTTGGTTCGGATCGCTTTAAATGGCGCCTGTATGTAGGTCCTGGTTTAAAGTAAGGGCAGGGTTTCGACGAGGGTGTGAAGAGTTTCTTCTGATGCATCTGTACCCCAGTGGGAGACACCCCAGTTGTAGACACTTGAAATGTTCGGCGTACCTTAAGCCTGTGGTTAGCTGTATGCTCCTTAGTTGAATATTCTCCACTGGGCTTTCCTGTCGAAGATAGTGTGTTAGAGCGCGAATTTACTGACCAGAAGGTCCGTGGTTCGAACCTGACCTCTGCCTCTCGACTTCCCCTGTCTAGGCTTGGGCAACCTGGCAGTATCTTAGCCCTCGTGCTTCCTTCGGGTGGCATGGCAGCTAGGCACAGCTGAACGATAGTATGCTGGAATTCGGTATTCAAATGTTGGTCGCACATGGGATTCACATAGGGGGCTTTTGAGGATGGATGTCGCAGAAAAAATTTTGGCCTATTGTCCTTCAAGGTGTCTAGGCAGGACGTGATGGCAACTCTTAGTTCGGCGAATTCCTCAGTCGTAAGGGAATACAATTTGTGATAAGCTCCTTGCTTACGGCGACTTCCATCATGAGGCAGGTTGGATTTCTCCTGGTTAGCGGGAAGCATTCACTCCGTCACCAGATTGTGCAGTATACCAATAGTTCATCGGAGAAGTTTGACGTTGTCGTCATTCCGAATCATTTATAAAAGCTAAGTAGTCGCAAATAACGGGGACTTTTAGTGTTAATGAAAGGTCATGGATGTGCACTTTGAATAGGGTAGGTCCAAGGTCAGACGTGTTTTGCAACTGCCGAACTAGGCGCTGTTCACATTCGTCCTTGCTCCCCCCGGTAAGAATTCCCTAGTTCATTCCAGGAGCTTACTCTTCTGGATTCTTATAAACCTTGAATGTGAAGCAGGGTCAAAGGCTTTGCCAAACTGGATGCATATAACCTTTGACTTATAACCATGATCCGGCACTACGGACCATTCTTCCGTGCCACCAGGAGTTTGAAGATTAAGAGATAACAACTTTCGTTCAGTGAATCAGCGAGCATTACTTCGCGCTTATCGTTTGATTGCCCATCTGATTAATCTTCTTTGGTACGACCGGTAACGGGACGATGGTCAGATAGATCGTTTTTTTTCAATCGCCTTTATAAATTGACTCTATGTAAGCTAGCTTTCCATCTTCCGGTCGTATTCCTTCAAGCGAACATAATCTTCTAAAGACTTCGAAATCAGGTCCAGGTGCTAGGCGGCGTTTAGATTTGACATAGTGGTTTTATTCGATTGTGTCTGAAAGGACACCCAGGGTTCATTTGAGACTAAAGCTGTGCTTCAGGCCACTTTGTCTCCACGTAATACTCTTCGGAGATCACAGTCATGATGTCTACGTGAGCATCCTCGTCGTTAACAATACAGGTGTTTGTCCTTCCTTCTAGTGTTAACCAGACAAATCCGGTAGAATTCGGTTGCAATGAAGAGTGGTCGTATCGGGAGTGCCTTTCGATGTCGCTCACTGCCGTCGACACTGTTTGTCAAAAACTGGAAACCAAAACGGAATCTTGTTTAACCGTTTGTTTGCTTCACACATCTTGCTTTCACACCCCACCTGTGCGTATTCTCCTAATTTTTAATTTGTGACTTTTCCCCCGCTGCATTTTTTCTAACCACCATCGCCTTCACGTGAATAGAATCGATCGTATTGTTCATTCAGATCTGATCAGAGCACGTCAGACTACTGCCGCACTGCTGGCTGGTTTACAGGATGACTCGGATAGTTTGTTCGACCTTCCACTGTTGACAAACCTGGCCGCTCCCCGCTGTGATGGTCTAGATGGGGATTACGCGCTTGATAGTCGTTCAGTTGGTCGAGACGGGACAATTTCTTCAATGAATTCAACTCATATGATCAGTCGTCCTTACAGACCGTTTCCTGAGGCAGAGTTCGACTGCCAACAGTCCCGGTTTCTTGCTGAAGGCCCACCACCAGTTGCACCGGAGCCACCCACTCGTGAGTGTCACTTCACTCGCTTTGGTTGAACTTCTTGTTGTTCCTAGAGGACATAAAGAACTACTTAGCCCTGGTCATTAGTTTCTAACGGAAAATGAGTGAAGGAATGAAATAATAATAAAAAATGAATTGGAAGATAAATAAATGAATCACGAGTAAACACACACATATGTAAATAAAATCAAATGAATGAGCAAATGAAAAAATGAGTACCCCTCATATAAAAAGCAAATTTTCTGAAGGCAGGCCATTTCTCTAAGATATCTCCAACACCTCTGACAGTCTTACGCCAAGCAAAGCCGCCTTGTTTTCAGGTTTTTGAGCGAGAGGTTGGCTGAACATCGTCATTACCCCCCTGCCTAGGTTTGCGCGGCTTCACACTGTATCGGCCCGCGCACAACCGTGAAACGCATAAATGAACGGCTACGAGAAAACACTAGTGAGGTGACAGCGTATAAAGAGGTAACCTACAAAACCATTCAATTGTTCCTACTAACAGCCACTCTCCAGTTGCTCGTAATTCACCTCAGTGACAGCTTAACTGTTGTTCCGCTGCAGGAATAGTGAATGACCACCACCGGTTTACCGATCGGTCGAATTTTCCTTACTTCCTTATTCATTTTGCCGGTGCAATCGTACTGGTTGGTTTGTAGCAACGGCTTGACAAACTTTGCGAATTACTTCTCCTGTTGATGAACCCTGGGGTTTCGTTAAACTTTGTTCTGCAGGCTCAGCTGTACTACCCAGAATCCTCAAGTAAAATCTGTAAAAACCTGTTCCCTGAGTTCGAAGGGGTTCAGTTCCGTGTATGATGAAGTCCGGAAAAAGAGAACCAATGACATGGGAGCTGCGTCGACTCAAATGCTGAGAGTATTCGTTGCTGTAAACGGTTGTGCTTCGACCGGCACAGTGATAACCGGAGTCATCATTCGTGAACTCTCTTGCAGAGCTCCAATCACACACTTGTTGATGTTTTATGAATACCTAATTTAGTCGAGTTCCGAATAAATCTAGGCTATGATGTTCCTCAACAAAATGCACCTCAAGGTCAATTTGGGCGGATATCAATGAAGTCGAAATATATTTCTTTGTAGATAGCATTCTAATTTGCTTCAGTTAATTCCATTTGTCGTTTCATTCAGCAACCTACCGACCCATTTAACTTTTCCTAACCCTTTACACATTCACCCACTAAGTTATATAATCACACACGTGATTTCTGAATACCATCATTTATCATTTGTTCATTGTGTATTGAACCCAAATCCTCGACTGACCAGGCATATTGTTTCGTTTCACTGTATGCAGCACTGTGAATGTTTCTGTTCACGTGCCTGTACTGGAATGTTTACGCGTACTACTGTGCAGTGAACCTAATTAGACTGCATTTATTCAACCGTATGGAAGCACTCACGAGTGAGATGTGTTGATTTAACTCTGGTCTCTGCTTTTTACTCGCTATCATGCCCTTTCAAGTCTACCCGTTGGCTGTCTCCACTTCCAGGTAGCTCCACCACGGAGGCGGTTCGACAGACAGAGGGGCCTCGGTTGGAACAGGGTTTCCAAACACACGTTCATCGTGTTCCTGTGACACCCACTGGTCAGTTGGCCCATGCAGCCACACGGCGCCAGTTCCAGTCCTGGTCGAGATGTTGCACATGCTTACTCAGTATACGCCCCGGCTGTTCCTGTGCTTGCCACCGGATACACAACGGGGACCCGTGTGAAACCGTAGTGTTTGTTGGCCACGCCAATGTGTTCCGTTTCTGGCTTTGTCGTGCATTGCAGTTGCCACCTGAAGCCTGGCTGCGATTCCAGTTGTACCACGGAAGCATCAGTTGTTTGGTGATCACATATGAACCTCAGAGGAGAATCGCTTCTCGCATTGGACTGTCCGACGCGGATTCTGCTGGTCGATGTACCGTGTCTGCTGTGCGAATAGGTGAAGTCGGTCACCTGGAAAAACACTTGCTATCGAGCTAGACCACTTTTTGATGTGACGTCCCAATATGTTTTTCTTGATTTTTTTCACTACAGAAATGGATCTTATTGTACTTAAAATGTCTCATTCCAAAGGGATCCGATTAGTGTAGTGGAACAAGCATGTCATTCCTTCCCGACCGCTAGGATTTGTTTTACCACTGAACGTCAATCAGACTGTCACCTCATATTTACATGTAAGTTGTGCGAATCAGCCGACGTTACCATCGATTCTTTTTCGTTGGTTTTCGCTGTTCCATAATGTGGGTCGTACTTTGGATTCTTCGCCCCCCCCCCTCAGCTCTTGACTACTCGTTACCCGTCAAGTCGCGCTATTTATTTCCATTTAATCTAAGGGTTGGTAACTCGTCATACGTGCGATACTGCTTTTGTCTTTCTGGAAAATGCGTGCCAACCTAATGTAGGCACCAGAGGTATCTCTATGGGACATTGGCGCCAACTTTTGATAAGGAAACATAATTGCTGAGATTGATCACCACGCTGTCTCAACTGCTATTCTCAGAATGTCAGATTTTAACTAAAACAAATGATTGATCCAATCTGGCAATAAAACAAACATTATTAAAGGTACAAAACAAAGCAGGACAGTACAGGACAGGTATTAGAACACCGCCAAGTTCGTTTGGGCCTGTTGTGTCGTACAGTTGTTGAAGGATGGTATGCAGTTTGGTGAGTAGAAGGATTTGGAGCTGTGGAAGATGTGGTGATGAAGAGTGTAAACAAAATATCCCCAGATTGGGGGAGTCTAGTGCATGCTTTGTTATGCTGACAGGAATCTAAGGGACTGGTAGCTTGTCTTTGATGAAAGACTTCGTGGTGTCTACAAAAAAGAACAAAATTTAGCGGAGAGAAAAAATGACGAATGACAATTAATCTATCGAAATATTGGTACATCGGATGAGTTTATTAGCTGTTGATCAGGTGGTTGTTAATCTGTTTGTCGAGCTGGGCAGTTTACTCAAAACATCCTATTGTTGGGAAGCTTTTCCACGACAACAGCTCTACTTCCTTCATGAACGCCTTTACCCTTCCACGTAGCGCAACTGGACGACCGGCAATAAACCATCTACAAGCTTGGATAATAGCTGGACAGAGTAGTCGACGGATGGTCAGTCTCGGTTACGGACGCCCACAACCGAATTAGAAAATATGAACAACCAACTGGTCGACTGGTAATAAACCATCTACAAGCGTGGATAATAGCTGGACAGAGTAGTCGACGGATGATCAGACTCGGTTACGGACGCTCACAACCGCATTAGAAAATACGAGAGAACAACCAACGAGCATAGGGAGGCCTACTTGAGGACAATAGGACCAGAAATGGTGTAACTCAGCATGGTGATAGTACGGAGAGTTACGTCCACTGCTAAAAACAAGAAAAATCATCTGGAAAGCTGATTAGAACGCAGGAATGTAAAAATATTTACAACGAAGCCTGGATATGGGAGTCTGTCCTAAAGCCACCTGACAAGAACTGAAGAAAAAAAAACGACCATCGAAGGGCTTAAATTGAACTTCAAAGACTTGACAAGCTTGGAGTATTTGGCTAGCCTAGAAGCGGTGCTGAAATCCATCAGACTCGATGGAAACGCCCAGTAACAAATTCGTCAAACCAGTCATCATACACAACAAACCACTCAACGTGTTTTTCGACAAGGGGAAAGGAGCAACGAACAAGTTGAAGAAGGATGAAAACAGTGATTCTGCCAAGTGATCATGAAGAAAACCAGACCAAATCAATAAAGCAAAGACCCTACTCAACGGCACAACTACATATCGCCACTTAGAACGCGACCAAGGCAAACAACTAACAAACAAAGTCAGTACGAATTTGAAGAAGCTCCAAGATCGCCACAAAATTATAAAAGAGGAATATTGGATAATAAGGACGCATTTGGTTATTGGTCTGTTCACCGAGCTTGGCAGTTGGATTGCAAACGTTTCATCACCAGTGGAGGTGATCATCGAGGTGCAATCCAACTGCCAAGCTCGGCGAACAGACCAACAACCAAGCAGCGTATCCGAGCTACCTGCATTCCACAACATTGCCAATAAGGACTCGTGATTCGGCCACTTCCCGCTTCTACGGACTTCCGACTCAAAAAAGCACAGACCACAACGCAGCAAAAATCACAAACGGACCAATAAATTCACGAAGAACACTGCTACCTAATTGCCAGTCACGTTGGCAGAAAAGAGATAGTCTTATAAACGCACTCAGGCAAGGAGGAACTAATCAAAGAAACTGCGCACTGATGATGTCTGCTCGTATGGTGACTAAGCCTATGTAAGTTAGTTGCAAAGCTCGGCGAACGGATCAACAACTAACGAATGACAACAGAGTACGTGGCGACGTTAAAAAAACACACCAGAAGATAAGATTACTTACAAGAACAAGGCATAATTTCAAAAGCCTAATTGAACCATGTTTCACGTCTCTGTTTGGTTTAATCGGTGGATGATGATGGTGGCAGTGACTAGTCGTCTTTTTCTATCCTTTGCTTGCGTCGGGGGCGTACAATACATTTCAATTTTTGAACACTTGACTGAACTACTCAACCTATTACATTACCTATTGTCTTGTTTAGCCTCTTTTCATCGGTAAAGAGTCCACATCAGATTTATGCTGGGTGCATGATCTGGTTTATGAGCCTGCCAGTTTGAGACCGAGTTTAGACATTTACAGTTCTTCCTGGCTGTCCAAGCTCTTTTGATTGGTTGTCTGTCCGGTGCACTGTGTGGGAGAACGGACCCACCATCAACAGTCAAAGGCTTCGTTACAAGTCAACTTGTTTCGAGCCGAAAGTAGCATGTCATGACCATTGGTGGAGATTTACATCAGACATTTCTGATGGTGAAGCTTTCACTCTGAGGGTCGAACAGAAGTACGGTCCCCGTAGAATCAGCGACAATTTCGACATATTAATTGGCTTACATGGAACAAGAGAAGAAAGACAGTTTATCGTTGTTCTTCATTGTTCAAATTACTCACGTGGAGGATCGTCCTGCGGTGTTGCGGAGATTGTGAGTGATTTGTTACACCCTTGAGGCTGAATGGGGTCTGATTGGTTTATTCTCTGACACGAGCCTCGGGCTTTCGTGTGAGTGTTACGCTGCTCGTTTGGCTACCATAGTGCCAGCTTTATTCTCAGGCTTAGGGAAAGTTCTCCACCAGGACGGTGTTTTCCCATAATCACTCGAAAGCAATGCCCTTTGGATTCTGAACGGTTTGGACGTTTCATGCATCGTCATTCCGCTTGAATGCACTTTACCGTTTGAGATCGTATGCCAGCCAGATACCGGTCGATACGATTGGAGCACAATGCAGCCACCTGTCTTATCAAATATAAGTCGTATCACTCTTTGCGTGGAAGTGTTCGAACTGCTTCTGCCGATGAGGATCGAGCGCACTAGCTACGTATCTTCTATAGGCAGTAAGCCGATTTCAGCGAGCGACTGTTCATAAAAGTCAATCTGGCAGCATGAAACATTGCAGAGGCAACGGTTGGAGTTTGGTTTGATTTGATTAACACACTAACCGAATCGACCCTATTCAGCAGTTGGGTGAATCGAGGTAGTCCAACTCACGTCACCTTTCCACCAGATGCATCAGTGAACAAGACAAACACCCGGTGTTGTAGACGGATACATATTACCACGGAAATACCTTAAATGGGAAAATTCACCTGGGCGTTAGAATGCGAAAGCGTATTATAGGCCTGTGACGATTTGACAAGGTCGACAAAGCCTTGAGTGAAGTAGTAAATTGAGTGACTAGCTATACGTCCAAATCCCCGTCTCTTCTACATCTGCCAATAAAGATGAAGAAACCCGATGTGGGCAGCCCTGAGAAAAGGTATACCAGTGGCGTAGTATCCTGACCGTTATTTCTAGTCTGGCACACAATCGAGATGGCGGAGGAATAAAGATGTTCAACTAGAAAATGACAACATGGGTGTCAGGGGACAGGACTCTTTCCTCAAAAACCTGTCGGATTTTCCCACTGTATGATTTAACAGCAATCAAAAATGCTGATCACGAGACGATTCATACGTGACCGAGCAACCTACCGTTGACATGGATGAATACTTAATCGTGCGTCTATCACTGTTCCGTGAATTCAAGGATCAAACGTTTCTTCCGCGGCGAACATGCCGTTGAGGCCTCCAAAATCCTCTTCTTCCTCGAATTCTGGAAACATAGGCTTCAGCTCAGTGATATCCACTTCACTTTCACTGTCGCCTCGTTGTTCTTCTTTAGAGATTGAACCGATGGAGCTGTTGGAGTGAGAATCGGATCGCTTGTGACCGGGAATAACGGTTTCACTTCCGGCCTTCTTTATGAGCTTACCGGTCTTTCGATTGTAGTCTTCTAATCGAGTGTCCATCTCGTGCATTCGAAAGTGGAGTCTGGATTCGAGACTATAGTTCTTAGTGTTCCTGCAACAATAAGGAAATTGAGACCAGGTACGTCATCCTGTTTGGAGCGCACCTTCTGAAAATAAGTTTACAGTAGCGAAGCATCAGCAGTTGAATACTAATGTTGACGGTGATGAGAATAGGCCAACCTCGGGTACGATAATCAACAGCACTTCTCTTTAAATCTAATTTATTGTGAAATTCCTTCCGTCGAAAGAGCTTCCCCCTAAAAGGGGATAATTAAGCCCTCCGACTGCGGTCATCTGGCTTGATTTACTGCGGTGACGAAAAATATCTTCACGTAAACGCATCCATATGTCATACAACCACAACATCTACATACTTCTTTTAGGCGACTGTAAATGCCCCTCTGCCTGGAAAATTTGCATGGCAGCGTTAGTAAAGCCAAAAAGTGTGCACAAGTTGACCAAGTCCATGTAAGCCACAAAGCAATGGGAACGGGTCAGAGTCAGGCGGCTTTGAGACAGGGTCGTCTGGTCACACAAGTTCCAGTATACGAAGCTCCACTTGGTACCAGTCTTCTCAACAACAGTGCTCAGAATGTATAGAGAGATGAAAAAAATCTTACATGCGTGAATGCATGTTGGAGGTACACTCATGAGTGTGTTTCACAGCAGTCAGCTCCTGCAGTTGCGACGCAGCACTCCTGCTCAAACAGCAGGAACTCTTGACTGAAGGAGCTAATGCTATTCGACAACTTAAGGACTTAGGACAGTAAGCACATCAGCGGTAACGGCTAGATTCAGTGGCGGTGTGTGCCAACCTTGCTAAAAAAAGATTGAGGTTAAAGACAGGGACGGCATCATCGGGGCACCACCTAATTTTTGGTGAAACATCACCCGTCAACCCCAGTGAATTTCAGACCAACTCGGCAATTTTTTCTGTACATTGACTGTAGTTGCTGCTAATGCACTCGGCTCTCATACAGTAGAATTTCCAGCATCATAAACTGTAATCAATGCGGGGATAACTGAGGATTCGGAACAAACTGCTGGCAACCGGAATATTCGTCTTCGAATGAAAATCTGAAAGCTCGGCCTACAAGGTTTACCATTCCTGTGTATGACATTGACTTACGATTCGAGAAATTCATCGGAATATTGGCATTTCAGGTGCGTTCACTGATATTCGATCAAGAGGCTCTCGATCTGTTCCCCAAGTGTAACATCGACGAGATATCATCAGTACTTGGTTAGATAGGTACTTCCTCTTACCTGCCAGTCTACAGACCATCTATCTAGCTTTGAAGCGAATGCCTCATCAGAAAGCAATTTTCCGCAATCCCATTGTTCCGTGTGCGGTTTTTACTGCGCTTTGTTTGGAATGCCTTGCATCCGCTTGGTGCGTCCTTTCGACCTTGCACACGGACGAATACGATTGCGGATAAGGTCAAAAGATGTCCTATCAGCTAGCAATTACGATTCTCCTGCATTATCGCTATCGCCAATCCAACTAAAACTTGACCACTACTCATAGTATGTTGCCGTTGTTTTGTCAATCTACTCGGTTGCATACAGAAAGCTGGGCATCCCATCCAATTGAATCACTGGCCTACTCGCTTCAATTGTGTTCAGGATCTTTTCCGAGATCTAGTCGGTTACTAGGCACTCGTATGACGTTCGCTAGTAAGCGATTGAATGGCTTGCTCTGGTTTACACATACATGGTAACCTGGCATTGGTCTTACAACCACACCGAGACTCTTTGAACTGTCACACAAGCGGCCGGAAAACAAGCCAAAGTTTAAAAAGACGGGAGACGTGAAAACACGCTCACGCCATGCTGACTTTTCTTACACTGTTCTTACCAGTCGTGACCAACCGTATAATCGTACGTTTTAACTGGAACTTTCGTCGAATATGGAGACCTATGGGAGCCCAGACGAAAGTACTCAAAACAGACAGTCGTACGGTGCGCGATTTCCTACGTTGGGATGATTTCGTGTCCAACCCGAGTGCACTGAAGTTCCAGTGGGATTTGGTCAGTATCTGTGTTTCCCAAAAATGTCCTGCCCAAAATTTTTCAACGTTGCTGGTACACCCCTAGCTTGCCGAATGAATGCTTGTGTGCGACGTGTAGGAACACTTGCTATGGTTCAAGTGGCAGAACACTTGCCTGGTAGGCGAACGTACGCAGGTTGGAGGCAGTGTTATGTCTGTGTCTTTTCGTTCTCTTCCGGGGTCTCTATTTGAAGCTGAATGACTACGGTCGTGGGTGCTGCAGATGCATACCTGAACAGAACGAGTTGGATTTAATCTCTCAACCTGTCTCTTTGTCCTAAGATCTTTTTATCAGAGAGGTACACAAAATCCTAGTTTCACTTGTCTTACAGTTTTTGAGTGGCATCTACTCTTAACCATTCCCAGGTTGGAAATTCGTCCACGTGACTTGCCATTACGACCCTTGTAAGTCGTATTCTTCTGATTACATTTGGAGTAAGCGGGTAAGTTGAGCACTCCCTTGAGCGACGACGTTATAACTGCTAGCCGTCTCTCCTAATGAACCGCCTATGAAAGCATTCAAGACTGGTGATACTAGAAACTTCATTCCGGTAGTAGGGTCACAGGGGTGCACCCTGTTTGAACAATTTTAAGAACGATGCGATTTAGCTCTAGTACTGTATGGCCCACAAGTTGTGGCTTAGAATAGGCAGAGGAGTTCTAACAGGAGCAGAGGAAGAATTTTACCTAATACCGGGAATGCCCACAAGTAGTAACATTCGGGCTGGTCAATACATGCTTTCTGACAACAAGCTAACGACTGAATTCTGATAGCGATCGGATGCAGATCACCAGCCGCTGGGTGTTCGAGGGCCAATTGCAGTTGAATAAAGCGTGGCTTATGAGCGTGACTAAGACCTGGTTTTTTTTAGCTCCTTTCCCCAGAAGCTTTTGTATAATGGCCAGAATTCTGTCTGACTAGACGATAATAAGGTCAGTAATAATTAGGCAGACTTACAAGCTATATCGAAGAACTACTTACCGTGCCCGCTGGAGGCGTTTGATGGCCTCTGGGATGTCTCCTGCATCAAAAGCAAGTTGACACAGCTCCATTTCACAATATGGAAGAAGGTATGTGTCGATAGTGATTTTCTGTTTTCTAAAATTGAAAATGTAACGCAATACAAGTAACCACGATTACTGTGACTGAGTATGATAACTATTCACATGGATTAACTAACTAGTCATCAAATATAACCTGCATGTGTTAGATTCTACAGTCAGGCAAGTGACCAGATTTTTAGTGTACACTTCCTTAGTGAGTCAATGACACTGAGTCCTTTAAGATTCTACAGTCAGGCAAGTGACCAGATTCTTAGTGTACACTTCCTTAGTAAATTGTGTGCACTTTCTGAGTCAGTGACACTGAGTCCTTTGAATATCTTCACGCATCGCCTTCACTGTTATCGCGATGCTCTTAACATCTGACTGTACTTGGTAAGTTGATGAGTTTAAAAAAATAATAGGAACTCATCACCTGCATCTTTTTACCGTCCTCAGTGGGTCCCTTGAAACTTTCGGAGAGGATAGTGATTTGCTGTGGGTTGGAAGAACAGTTCTGTGCAGTGAAGTCCGGCGGGTCGAGGAGAATCCTTTCATATGCATGGTAGGCCACATTCGATGTTGTCCGAATGAGTATCGACGTTCTAACCCATTGGGTCCTGAATTAGCGAATGGCCATTTTGTTTTCGTCTCAAATATATTCCGTGTGCTTTTTGCTATATTTCACTGTAATGCATCTGATTGCATTTTACTTATACAATATGCCGTTCACTTGCTACCAGCTGACCACATTTGGGCACATCGATGGCATTAGAAATGTCTGTTCACCCTTTAGTCTTATTCTCGCGGGTTTATATCAGATACAGGGTGTAAAGTTGGATGCAAACGTGAATTAAAGTCAAGCGCATGTAGCATGTGAGTGAGGATCCATCGGTGAAACCGGAAGCGGACGCCAGCCTACCATATTGCTGGTAGATGTGAAGATGAAGCAATGTTTCCGAGAAATACACTCATTTGCAAATCCATTTGGTTTTCACGAGAGACTCAACTGAATCTCTCGTTTGTGTTATTCTACAACTGAATGTGCTGCACACAGGCCGCCTTATGATTTAGTTGGCACGATATTCGAGATATTGCAGTATATTTTCATAAAGGCACACTCAGCTGTAGAATATTATAAACGAGAGATTCAGTTAGTCTCTCATGAGAACCGAATTGATTTGCAAATTAGTGTATTTCTCGAAAACAGTCGAATTTGGGTTGAAGTAGGATATAAGGTTGATGGAAACTCGGGGACGGCGCCTACCTGATGAGCCCCAACAAGGGCGAAACCGGTCGTGGGCTGTCGAAGAGTTTTCAGCAACCTTGTGAGTAGAATGAAACAATGTTGTTTTGGCGGAATACAGTTAGCTCAGATTTACTACTTGGCTCTTAGTCTTTTCGCCGATCTCGGATGTTAGGTTGCAGACGGTCCATCATCAGTCGAGGTGACATCGTCAGTGCGGGGTGAGCTACACATTCAGTAACAACTAGATAATCATATGATGCAGCGATTCCCATCCCACGGGAACAACCATTATCAGTCTATCTTGTGAGGGTCTTCTATCGCCAAAGGCGAATCGGTCTTTTTGATCAAAACAAATTAGGAAGTCATGAAAGTAAAGAACCGGGCAACTGGATAAATAAGTATAAATCGTCTGACACAGGATCTGGGGTAATCAACATCATGGTTCCGTGACATACAATTTTTTTGACTCCATTTGAGTTGTGTAAGACTACAACATGAATTGGGTGAGAACATTGTCGCGCGGCGGGTAATGCTGCTTACTATTGCCATGATGAGGTTGGCCCAGTCTATTCTTACCATCGATGAAGATACACTGAATGGCACTGGAGGGTTCTTATTTATGTCGTCGCTATCTTACTGTTATGTGACAGCAAAAACACACTGATCGGTGTTCATTTTCAGTTTCTTGATTAGCCTAGCCTGTGTGACCCCAAAGCACAAGACGGAGGGAGTTCGCATTTGGGGGTGCTCACCGAATACAGTCATCTCCTTCAGAAAGGAGACGTTATCCACCGCACAGCTCAATTCTGAGGGAAACTTACGGCCGATCTGCACTGCGTTTTCAGGTTCCACTGAAACGAGTACAGATACGCTATCTAATGTACTCAGTATTCGTGTTTTGCGAGAGTAATCACAATTTCTGCAATTCTCGTCACGTCTGGCTACCCAGTTAAACACATTTTCTAAGGTCTTCTCCGATAAAATCCGTCATACTTGAGTAATTTGGTGGGAGAAACGGCCGATAGAAAAAAACCTTTGCATGAAGTGATTGCTGGCCAGTCAGCCGCATTCGCTAACTGATCCTTCTCAACGGGAGTTGAAGATTAAAGTGGGGACCATTGGCGATTGTCCTATCGTGTTTCGAGTGATATTTCAAAACGGTTATTCCTGTGAGTCGACGATTCTCTTCCCCTCACGGAGATTCCAGCACAACTTTGTGGAACACTCTGTAATTGCCCAATAAAGGGGCTGTCTGGAGTTACCGTGCCCTTTGATATACCACAATGGGCGGAGCAAGAAGCCAGGGGACCGATACAGAGTTGCACTACCGCTCAGCAAGACACAACACCACTGTTGACAGCCACATCCGATTACCATGCCGCAATTCATGACAGTACAATGCACTATAGCATAGTATAGTACATTATGGAATGATATGGTACAGTACGGAATAATATAGTGTTGTGTAGTATACTGTATTAAGGTATAGGGTAGTCTAGAATGACGTAAGAAAGTAATGCACCACAATGTGGTACACTCTAGTATAGTACGATATAATGTAGTGTGGCGTATTATGGTACAGTACAGGCATAGTATGTGTTATTGTATAGTACGTTATATAATAGTATAGTACAATATAGCATAGTATAATATAGTTCAGTATAGTGTAGTATAGTATAGCGTGGTGTAGTCTAGCATAGTAGAGTGCAATAGAGAACTGCATTTTTCGAACCACACTTGCTAATCAGCTATTAGCTCAATGTATGACTTACAGTTCAAGGATTTCCTGGAAACACATTGATGCCTGGAAAAGTTGTCCACGGCAACGTAGGCACACACCCTTAAGCAGAAGAGCCAGACTGTAATCATCGTCAAAATTCTGATATTGCCCTGAATCAAAAGCATCGTGAATATGAGGAATTATGATGGTACGCTATCATATTTAGACAGCTAAATCATCCTTCACTATCATCTTCAGCGAGCATCTCGCATATCTCTAAGAGTTAAACACTGTCAAGCAGGTCAATGGTGCACTGCCTCAACACGAGTAAAATGGTTCAGCTTCATTTATCTTACACAGTATGCTGAGAAATGTCGGTATTACACCAAGTCATATGAGACATCTTCCACTGAGGAGTCAGACAGCACGGCTCCACGTGAAACGCTATTGAAAAACTGGTTGTCCACCCGACTGTTTGACAATCTGAGTTTTATGTGGTTTGGCAAACACGTGAACATGAAGTGTGCGGTTAGGAGCAGCCTGCTTACACAGATAAATTCTGAAAATCTCGTTACTCCTTCACGTTTACTCCTTCAGATGTCTCCGAATTTACCCTGTTAGTGCGCAAACAAATGAATGTGTTCACAATGTCTCATTGTTGATGAGGAGGCTGTTGATCAGTTCATCGAGTCCGATCACCGGCTTGCGGGAGTTTCATCATCAATCGAGGGAGTTCATCCTCAAGCGTACACTAAAATGTCCACATGAGTGGTAGTGAAACTTTTGGAAACAAACTACCAGGCTCGGAGAACAGAAAAACATTCTCAGATGACGTGAATGAGCGCTTATGCAGGAGAACCAAGGGTTGAACTGATTGGGGCTTCAGCTAAGGGAACGTCCTTACCAAAACTCAGCTTTTGACACAAATTACCGGAGTAACGGATGTTGACCAATTGGAGCAGCGCAGTTCAGAGTTGTGTGTAACAATCACCCAAGAAAGATACATTGCACAACAGTGCTCCTGTGCAGGAAACACCTTTCGGGAGAATCCTTCATAGCTGACTTTTCATTGGTCATTTGAGGAAATCCCGCACACAAGTGCACAGTCGATCAAGATAAGACTGTGATCAAGAAGACACGGATAACTTCGCCGGAGTATATCAAACCCCCATTTTCGAATAAAATTGTGAAAAGAATATCAGGGTAGAACACAAGACGGCACGCATACTTAACAAAGACAGTGAGTTTATGAGTTGTGCGTCCTTAAGTGAGTCATGTGGGGAGAAATATGGAACTCAGGTTGAACTAGAATTACTCTCAGTAAGATCAACCCCAGATTTGGAGTGAGTCGACGGCCATGACTAAATTAGTGTTTAGACAAAGCGATTGCATGAACACGGAACAGCACTCAATAGTTTCTCCTCATTGTGGCTAATTTACTTAAGCATACGTAGTTAGGTAAACCAAGAGGGACACGGCAGAAAAACCAACGAAAAGCACTTTTGTCGCTCGTCTGAGTGACGACATCCAAGAGGTCGTAGTTTAAAAATGTCTAGGTGTTTAGATTGTGGTCGCTTCGTGATTCGGGTGAGATTCCGCAACCGTCCCATTTCAGATTCACGTAGTAAGGCTGGTCTGCCCAAAAGTGCGACATCAGTGTTCGAAAAATTATGAAAGCTGCAGAAGTTGAAACAATTCAAATGTCCAGTTCACTTCACCGGTCGCTCGGGCAAGCAAACATCCGAACAACAGTGTTCGAATAGGTTCTTAGTCTCTGATTCATGGTGCAGTAAGGAAACTCACTAACAAAACCAGCTGGGTGTGAAAGAATACGATGCTCAAAAAAGAACCTAGCTACCTACTCATAGGTGAAATTCATAGTTAGAAGACTCAAATGACCGAACCTAGTCATATGATTCGCGCCCCCCATACATCATACATCCTTCCCCTACATCACACAGTTTACCGAGATCCAAAAGCTACCCACTCATATCTACAACAGTATCGTTCTACAATATGCTGACCTCGCTAGCTACATTCACTTTGCCAAATCAGTCCAACATCTTCGGAGTCAGTTGACGAATGTTACTTCTCGGGCATAAAATTACGCTTATGGTCAAACCGCTTAATATCCTTCTTGTTCATTCCCCTAACATAATTTTTTTCCTATGATACTTGTAAGCATCAACGTCAGAAAAGAGATGAGTTCGTTGAGAGCGATCTGTTTATCTTATTATTATTATTATTATTAATTTGTTATCCCTTATCTTATCCTCCTATAAGAGCTAGAGCCAAGCCTGCTCTACACACATATAGCCTTACAGTTTGTTCGGACCGGTATACAACTTGTAAGGTTGGCAGTGTGAGGAGATTCGGGATTTTTGTGGATTTTTCGTCCTGTAATTGGAGCCAATTTATGCTGAACAGCAGAGAAGCGCTGTTTCATCCTTATTGGGAATCATCAGCAGTGCGCATCTCACGAAACTCCGGAGAGTCTCGAACCCGCGACTTCCTGGCTAGTAGTATGAACACTTAGCCGTTCGGCCACGAGTGGCTGATCAGCAGTGTGATTAACTGGCACTCAGACAGGATATAGCGCCGCTCATCCTTCAATCACGGGATCCACGTCATGCGGTCACAAGGGCACAAACTGACAATACACTGTCGGTTTGTATGTAGATAGAACTCGGAAAGTCGCGTATACTTGGAGCACTCACATAAATATTCCCCACCTTTCAGCTTTTCCAGAAATCCTGCTTCAATTGTGGTGCACCCAGTGAGTAGCCTTTCCGAAATTCATCACTTACTGAACGCAATAATAATACCGATCTTACTGAACTTCTATCGGTGCTACGAAAAGTCGGCTGTTGATTTTCTTCCAGTAATAACTGTGTTAAATGCGACAAGGCCTTGTTCTGATTCCGAAACCACTGAACGACCTTAAGTTTTCGTGCTTATTGGTAGTACGAGGGAGTTCGTGAGTTCTAAAGGAAATTTTGTCATGGAAATGAAGTCATCGTAAGCTGAAAAGCTGAGAAACACTGTACAGCTACTTGATCCTTATTGAGGATTATCAGCGTAGGGAATCTCGGGAAACTCCAGGGAATCTGGAACCCGCCACCTCCAGGTTAGTGGTCTAAACACTTGACCGTTCGGTTATGAGCGGTTGATCAGCAGTGTGATTAGCGCTCACCTAGAGAAGACATTTTGCCGTTCATTCTTCACTCACGACATCCACATCATGCAATCACTTCTGTTACCTGGCTCCCCAGATGGAAGCTTAACTCTTTGGGGGAATTTCATTCTTCCTTTAAGTTACTTATAGATTGTGAGAAGATTTGGGAACTTTGATGGAGGTTTCATCCTGCAATTGAAGCCAATCTATGCTATCCACACTGCTGATCACCCACACATAGCCTAACGCTTAATTGTTCAAACTACCGGAAACTCCATGGAGTTTCGTGGGATGCACACTGCTGAAGATCAAAGATGTGGACGAAACGGCTGGACAGTGCTTCCTGGATTTTCAGCACAGTTCGGTTTCACTTAGTGGATGAAAAATTTCATGCTTATTCTGACACACGAGGTTGATATAGAAAGGTCAAAGGCAAAGCCCTCCCTCGTCATCCAGTCCTGAAGACCTTGTTGAATATACGTGTCAAATGATGTCAGCTGCGTTTATACTACCGGCTTGTACCCAGGGGATTTGAGTGAGTATTTGAGGGCGAAGAGATCGCACAGCACTTGCTATGGACTGATGGAAGGCTTGTTTCCCATTACCTGTTCTTTACAACTTTTCACCGCAAACATCCGAAGTGGTCACCGGAAACTGCTGATGACATGAGACCGTCAAACAAAAATCTGAGTTTCTACACTAAACTCACCACGATTACGAATCAAGTCGTTGATTTTGTTCTCACATATCAAGAGGAAGGACATGATTGAATCTTGCTGACAGTGAATAAGTTTGAATTCGTTCCAGATGAACATAAGTTCCTGAAAACGGAGCAAGGTGGATAATAAATAAAACAAGTCAGATCTTGTCGTTTCATCACACGAAGTGGCAAACCCTCTAAAACGTTTCCTCAAAGAATGGACGACGAGATTTGAATAGCCGTCACTACAAAACAAATTTTCCACTGATTTGATTGCTTGTGTGATGGCATGATTACTGAGAGGTTCCAACGAGATCACCTACGCCGCTGGCTGTATGACGCAACTTATTGTGGCCCGCTAGAAGGAGAAGCTCAGGGTGATTTACCCGTCCAGATAATCTGCTTATTTGTCGTTGTCATAACTGCAGATCCAGATTTAGTTTTATTTCATCAGACCGTTTGGACCACGTAGACCGGATGTATGAAGACTACCCGATTATTTTTGGTGGCCTTTCAAAATATACTATCGATTGTAGGGACGGGCATCGTACAGAGTGTTCAGATGAACTGCGTCCAAGAGTTGTGGAGGCCCACATGGATCAGTGGGATCCACCGACAAATTTCTATCACGGGCCTTACCACCTTCTCCAGCAACTGAAGTGGATCTTTTTAGGGAGATTTTGCGCACTGAAAGTTTGAATTTGTGTTACTTTTGGTGCTCTACAAATGCTATTAGATAACTGATTTTGTGCTCATTAAATTTAGTCATATTACAGCTGAGTTATATTTTGACGAATGCGGGATGTATATAAAATAGGCTTAATATGTATCAGGAAAAACAGAATCCGGTCAGGAACATTGGAGAGAAGGCGTATTAGCATGACCTTTGGTATCGACCGTTTGACATAGTAGTACATGTGGGTTGATTGCATGGGGCACTTACATTATGATATCTTCTTTTGGGGTGTAAACGGACCAGTTGAAGAACTAGTGTGTGTTCTTGGCAAACATACCTCATTTGCAACCCAGTTTGGGGTTCAAGTGGAACACAAGTTTGACGGAAATCGAGGGCGCCGTTTAAATGCTGACTGAGTCTTGAGAACGAAACCAACCGTGAACCAACGAGCAGTCTTCTGAAACCTCATGACTAATACATTCCCTCCTCCGTGTGAAAGGCTTTTTCCTTAATGAGGGATCACAGTGGAAAAATTTCGTCTATTTGATACTCCCCGAGTGAAAAGCTATTCCGTGTCGTCACCAAGTTTGAAAGCAAACACTTCACAGATGGAGAAAATGATAGTGAGAAGGGGACACTTACGAGTGCTGGTAGAGTGAGTTTCTTATTCTGATTAAAATATCGCTTGGATTTTCGAAGAGCAATTTTTTCCAGAGGAAGTGAACGTCCGGCAAAGCGGTGCATCATCTTTGGAATGTCTCTGAAAAATGAAGACCAAATGTGGCATTGTAGAGGTGATGGCGTCGTCAGTTTGGAATTAACTATCACAAATATACATTGATAGAGGGTTTCAAGGTGTTGTGATCGAAGTACTAGTAGGGTTGGTGGTCGTTGTGACAGTCTTGGTTGGACCGTTTTTTAAACTTCTCCGGACTTAGTAGAAGCACAGTTGAAGTAAGAAGCCAGTGAGAGAAATCTATAAACAGGAGGACTGTATTATAGGGTTCCCGCTCGGAATCAATTGTGATACACTGAAGATATGCCCATCAGTGACTCTGACCGCAGTTGGCGTAGCATGTGCAACTTACCCCGTGTTTGTTTGTTCCACGGCTGTTGACACGGCTTGGAAACTAGCTTACAAGTATTTCGTCAGCAATCAAGGGGACGCAAAAAGCAGTGGGTTGGTTGGTCTTCACATGCTGGCACGTCTATAGTTTCCAAATCTACGTCATATATGTGAGATTACCAGGTAACACAGAACCTGATGTAGTATAAGTGCTCTCAGCAAACTGACAACACCATCGGCAAATACATACAAACCGAAATCTTGGCATTCCGTGTGCTCATTTTAGCCCATGTGAAGTAATGAATGGTGTCCTTTACTTCGAACAGGCATAAAGCGCCCAAAGCTGCCCCTTGATGTGATGGCTAGGCTTGAGAGGCAGCCTAGGATACCGTAGGCTGCACTGGTTGGAACTTCGCTCCGTGTGTTGCGAACATGCCAGGAAATCCAAACAGAATCAGTCGGACAAAACTGCAGCGGGAAGTCATACTAAGCTCAGTGGTATTACGGGTCGGCCTGGAGGTACAGTATTACTGTATGAAGGTTGTAAGCTGTGTCCAGGTATCATCGAAGTAAGAGAAGAGTTTATGGTTACCCAAATGACAAAGTTCATTGGCGCGGTGCGAAGGAAAGAGAAAACACATGCAGAATGGGACACGGCGACAGTCTTCAAAAAAGAGCGCAAATACTGCATAGATCATATTTTCACTCTCCACCATATTCTGGAAAAGCGACACTGGTCTTTCTTGACTTTTACTCTGTGAACCGCCAGACACTATGTCACTTTCTGTGGAGCAAAGGTGTCTCCCATAAATTCTTTACCTCCTGAAGGCTCTGTAAGCCAACTCCAGCGGACTCCTGAAGGACTGTGAAAAGCCCTCATCTGAAATCACTACATTAAGTGGTGTCAGTCAGACTGCCTTGTTTAACCTTTCCTCTCCAACTTCGTCAGCGATACGATCAGGGAACACCCATACTTAGCCTCTGATACCTGTGGAGCCGACACGACCCCAGGCCAACTTTCCTGTTCGAATTCGTCATGAAAGACTCATTCCAAACCTCTAATGCTTCTGTGGACCAAATGCTCCCAGGACGTTCATTCAAGGACATCTAGTAGTTATACGACATTGTTCTTCTTAGATTTGACCTCGTTGCAATGCAGACAACATTAAATAATCTAAAAAGTGCAGGTTAATCATGCGTTGAGAAGTGTACAGTGCTGCTACAAGACTGGATAGCAGCAAACACGAAGTTCATGTATGCGAATGAGCCAGTCGAGGTAGCAGGGAAAGTTCTCTACTTGGAAAGCTGTATTAATCCTGGTGGTTTAGCTAAAAAACGATATTTCCATCCGGATCGAGAGGGCAGGACAGTTTTTGTCATTCTGCATCACCTGTGGATCAGGTGTGACATCAAATTATCTGACATGGGTCGGAGGCAATCCATTTTGTTACATAGGCTAGAAAACTGGCCGATACGATCTGTAGACTTCGGAAAAACGTTCGGTGTTTGACCATCGTTGTCTTCGGATGCACGAGCCTTCTGGGAACACCGGATGACTAGTAGTGAAGATGGTTGGTTTTCGGGAGAAATAACTCGCCCACGATAGAGAAACTGGTCACACTACATAGGCTGTGCTGGCTTGAGCACGTGCTTTGTATGCCAGTCGACCGGATTCCTTACAGGACTCCTTCCACTGAACTATGTGAAGAGTGGAAGCGAACCAGGGGAGGTCAAACAGTGAATTGAGGGCGAAATATGAAAGTCATCACCAATAGTTTAAGCTACATCGGTCACTGCCACCCCCCTGGATTAGGAGTCCGAGACGGGACACAGACATTGTCAGACATCACGCAGTTGCAACTTGAATGACGCTCGTACAACCAAGCCTGTGCCTCTAACGCATAGCTCCCCTTCCAATTTCCCAGTGAGGCCTGCACTGACAACCTTGTATTTACGCATCAGTTATATGAAATTGTGCCTCCAACGCGTGGTCTTTTACATTCATAGATGATGAGCAATGACTGCACCCTCCGTACAACATGTATGCCTTTCACAGATGACGATAATGGTGCTGGTCTGCTAGCCGTGTTCGGCAATCAGATTGTCAATGTTTTCTCAGCGAATGAGATGACAGTCTCTGTGCATGCCATGCTGGAGATGCCAGCTTTCAATAGACATAACTGAGATAAATAACTTTGATTTTAATCGGTTTCCAGTCTCTTGTTCTTTAAACAGGCTGTAGTAACTATGGTCAAGCTGCAGCAACTTTGTGGTATAAACCAAGGATACTCATGCAGTTGTTTACTGCCTCTCTCTCTAATTGGTCAACCTTCACTTAGCTACGCAACTGTAGTTAGGGAGAGTTCATCTCGCCGCCCACAGATTGTTCACTTTCGAGAACCAAATGTAAGCAAGATAGTGAGATGAACATTTATTTGCTAATTAGCATGGTTCTAAAGGTCGAGTCAGCTGAATTTTATCCGGATTTCTCGCTTATAGACAAATATGCCGCTTAAAGGACACCTCAAATTTGAGTTTGAAGGCCATTCAAGATACAAAAGTGTAGTTCAGAGTTACTTACAAGGTTGATGAAAACTGCACCGTCTACAGTTAGTGTCTCCATCCTCGGGGATTATCAGTTGGACCCAGCCCCCGAAACACAATTTTCCTCAGCTAAAAAGAATTTTGCCTGTGTTGTGATAAACACTCATCTACGATCACGGCAGACACCACTGATCGTTACTCGTATTTCTGGACTATGACAGTCTTCATTTGAATGTGCCGCATACAGGACATTTAAGATACCAAACTGTGCTTCCAAACTACTCATACGAACGTTGCAACTGGTGTCTCCATCAGCATGTAGTTAATTTGTGAAGTGAGTTTACCACCACCTAAGCAAAATCGGTTCTTCAATTAGCAAATAACTTCGATGGAGTATCGGAGTCTAGAACAACCTGATGAGCCCCAAGAGAGACGAGACGGGTGGGCGAGATACTCCTCAAAAGTTGTAACAACTATACCGAGACGCCACAAATGAATGCGGAAAATCTATTCCGACTTACTTGAGCAGTAGGTCGACATCTTTGAGAACAGCGTCCCTATCTTTGTAAGGACCCAGTTGTTTTTGTGCGAGTTGCTGTTGATGTTGTTGCTGTTGATTGGCTTTGTTGCCGGTGCCGGGACGCACGCTGACATCATACTCATCCAAAATCTGAATTAGGAACGTTGCCTTCATATACCTATAGGTCGCTTGGCTCCACAGACTTTCGGTGGCCAGTTTGTCCACATATTTGATGGCTGTCAGCCAATCTGCTCGAAGTCTGTGAAACGGATTGTCACATGAGTGAAATGGAACAAAACACACGTGAGAGTAAAACTCAGCCTGTGGGATGATTCTACAGTAAGGCATCCGCAAGCGATCAGGCGAAACCACAAAATTGAAAGAGCGATTCAACGTGGTATAAAATGGACATTTCGTATTTAAGTCAGAAAATTTCACTCAACTACAGGACGGTGGACTCAAGCCGAAAACACATTGAAACTGAATTTCGTCCGTGGCCTCGTCAGTCGTTTTCAGCTTCGTTCTCTCCTTCCGGTTGTTTAGCATCTTCTGTTTTTGCGCTTGACTACTTCCTGTGTTAGCCTTATCCATCGTTATAGAAACCTTTTTAGATGATAATTCACTCTCCTGATATCATGCGACACCCTTCTGAAGAAGCATCAGTGGCCTGAAAGAGGTGTTTATGAATTTGCAGGTGAACCAGTTGATGATACTGATAACTTTAAGGGGTAGACGTCATATTGTTTATCTCGAAGTGTCATGGATCCAAACGGAGAACGTCTGTTTAGTTATCAGCCCATGGATTCAACAAACTGAGACTACAAGCCAGAGGACCGACTGGCCGACTCTCTCCGATGCTTAACTGGTGATTCACAAAAAATGACGAAATACCTAGTATAATTGAACTTTTTCTATTCCAAGCAAATCTTTCTGAGGAGCGACTCTGTCCACGTATCCTCCTTCTCAGTTGTTCCAGACGTTTTCACAAGAGACCTGTTGAAAGCGGTGTGTATCTCTGTTCAAAGTGTGCGAGGTTGGTAGACAAGCCTTCTTTTGTCACATGTTCGCAGTGCCAAGTCGAATTTAGTATCATTTATATTATATACTAAACTGTGCGGGAAGTGTTTGAAGAAGTCATTGTCATCGGGAGCTCCCGAACAAAATGACCAAAGTCATAGGACAAGTAAATAAATGACCACAGCAACAATCAGTCTAGAAGACTTGAACATCAAAGAGTACTGTATGACTTACGCGTAACACCAAAGCAACTCCCAGTAACACATATGGTTGTAATGCCTCCAATCCACCGGCAGCGTGGTTGCTTTTTCAAAAGTATCGATTGCCTGAAAAGGGGACAATTTCGGAATCGTAACCGAGGGACATAACGGGATTTCCCGTTGCATTTAAGAGGACATTCATTCCAGCATCTTCAACCCCTCACAACAGTGAGCATCATGAGCATATTTTCTGCGAATCATTTTGGTAAGTAGAATCTTTCCGATGGGAGTGAGGATGCATACAGCAAGTTATAGCCGTGGAAGACGTCGTTAAGTCTCCCTAACTGTAGTTCACTTAACACGGAAGAGTTTAAATGAGATTGATACTGGAGTCTAGCTAGCTTACTTTTGGACGAATATGACGGTGCACACAAGGGCCTTCATAAAAGGAAACTGCTCTTTCGCGCGAAGTTCACTTTCGAAATCAAGAAACAGGTGATTGACAGCCGACTCAATAGTACAATTTACCGGCATTACAGTTTCATTATCGGTATTTCTGGGAGATCAACTGTAAGGGAGGTCTCCCTGTTCCAACAATTGTTTTGATGGAGTTTCATATTGGCCGTGAAGACACTGTGGAAGTATGAAATGTGGAAGCAACAACCCGTTACAAATTTCCACAAAGATAAACCCCGACTGCACTGCACCATCTGCTGCAAATTTCCGTGTTAGTAATCTTTCGAGCTTGAAAACACTTATTAGGCTCGATTCGAAACTCCATAGCGTCCAGCATAATTTCCAACTATTTTATCAACTACCGACAGCTTATCAGCTTCTGCTCTCTTGTTGGCGATGGTGCTAATTGTTTCTTTATTCCTTGTGAGTCGTTCGTTGATCACTTTGCTAATCGTCTGGAAGTGGGTAAACAATTTTTCGGAAACATATGCATCCAATAACTACATCAGTTTAAAGAAGAGCTAAATCACTCTCCTGGCCACCACACTATCATGGTCATTGGTCTTCGTTTCAACAAGGTTGGAATGGTCAAAGCACGATGAGAGGGGAGGAGCGGAACGATCAACGATGAGCGCCAACGTCGCTCACGAGAAACTGTGCGACGGCGTGCGCCAAGAGTGCCATTACAGCGAAGAACCGCATAAAAGGGCATGAGGAATAACTTGAAATCCAGCTGTTAAACCGCAGATGTTTCCTGCATATGCGCATTTATTGCGTTTAGCGAACTAAATGAACCACGCTGCTGAACAGTCAGTCTTCTGAACGAGAACATCAAAGACGAAGGATTAGGCTGGGAATAAAGTGAGTCTTCCGTGATAAACCTCAGTTGTTATACCAAAATGCTCATCCTTGTTCCCGCTCAAGCGAGTGTGTGGTGATTAGTAAGTATTGATGTAGCATCCTTTCAGTAATCACTCCAGCTGGCTCGATCGGACATCGTGCTTTAATGGTCTCTCTGTTTGAAAAGACCACTTCACAAGTTCCAGAGAAACGAAACTGGTCTTCCTTGTGCGTTGCTCTCTATTGATGGGCTGCTAAAACGTGCACATCAGGCTAAACACAGGGTTTTCTAACGATTCTCCGCTTTTATTGGTCCTCCTTGAGAGATCGCGCACAAGTTAAGACCCGCATGAGAATTTCGGGTACAGTTCCGGTAGAATTTATAATTTGATTAATTCTTAAAAGATTTTTTTCCGTACTTTGTTATGGCGTCGGTGACAGACGAATAAGATGGCCTTTACGGACAGATGTTTGTTCTAGACGTAATACCTAAGGTAATCGTATGGTCGCGGAAAATTCTTTGACAGCCAGAGATCGGTTTCTTCCGTCTTGGGGCTCACCAGTTAGTCACAGTCCCAGAGTTTCCGTCAGCCTTGTGTTCTACTTGAACCCAAATTGAATAGATTTCGATAAGTACACTCATTTACATATCAGTTTGGTTTTGACTGGAGATTCACCTGATACCCAGCTGAATCTCTCGTTTATGATGTTTTCAGCAACCTTATGAGCAATGTATTACGTCTGTACATGTATCGCGATTTCTCGAATATCGCGCCAACTGAAACATGAGGCGACCTGGTGCAGCACATTCAGTTGCTTAAAAACAT